CTGGTCTTTGCTTCAGGGGTCTGGCCATTCAGAGTGGCACGCCTCTCGGACCCGCCAGAGGCCCTCCCTGCTGCGGTGGGCCAGGGCCCGTGGAGAAGCCCCCAGTTTGGATTTTCTGCCTCTTAGGCTAACCTGGCTCACAAACAAGATGCGGCAGCAAAGGACTGTTTGGGAGGAAAGGCCTGAGGTTGGGGGGCACCGGCAGGCGCTCCCCCCCCCATTGGCCTGACCCCACAGTGCCGTGCAGATCAGCTACGTGCTTCTCAGGGAAGCCACCGGTCTGTGGTCCTCCGTGGGGCAGCCCCGGTGGACAAACCGGATGCTGTGGAGACAGTACACACGTGAGCATGTCCACAGCATGCTGTTGGCACTGCACGGAGCCACCGAGGTCACGTCCGCAGCGAGCAGCGTCCCCATCCTGACCCGTGTCGGGGGGCACGCTGGGGGCTGAGGGGAGGCAGTCGTGCAGGACTGCGGGGGCGGCTCCCAGGGCGAGCTCATGCCCCCCACTTCCAACTCCTCAGCAGGTGCGCAGAGTGGGTTTCGGGGGCATTATGTGACACCTGAGTCGTGCAGCTACAGTCAGCAGGACGGCACTCGAACCGGGTTCTCAATGGAAGATCCTGCTCTCAGTTGGCAGGGAGCTTGCCCTCGACCCTCACTGCGTGCATGTGACAGCTCTTTGGGGGGTTCAGAACACGCGGGGGCAGAGAGAGAGCAGCCGCCCACACTGGCCCCAGGCCAAGGGGGCGGGGCGTCTGACTTCATCTGCAGAGCTCTCCCGGAAACCTGGGATCATGGTGTCCCCAGGGATCAAGGGGTTGGTTCCTGCTGAGCCTGTCCCCTTCTCTGGGAGACGCCGTCTTCACCCTGGGTCCTCACACCATCTGCCCTCTGTGTGTCTCTGTCCCGAGGCCCCCGTCACACAGGATCAGGGGCCACCTCAGTGACCTCCTTTGAACCGACTTCTTTAAAGGCCTGTCTTCGAATATGTTCTAAGACAGAGGTCCCCAACCTTTTTGGCACCAGGGACCAGTTTCGCCTTAGGCGATTTCTCCACGGAGCAGGGTTGGGGGGATGGTTTCGGGGTGATTAAAGCCCATTGCATTCAAGGTCCCCTCCTGCTGTGCGGCCTGGTCCCTAACAGGCCTGGGTGGGCACTGAGCTGTGGTTGCAGACCCGGTTCTAAGGCACTGGTGGGGGGTGGCCAGGACTTCAGCATACGAATTGGGAGGGGACAGAGTCTCATGAGCCTCAAGCTTTTCCTGCTTGGCCACGGCCCCTGCAGCTGCGTCCCTCCGCCCTCCTGTTGTCCCAGACCGGAAGTGGCCAGGGCGACCTTCTCCCAGTCTCGCTCGCTGCATGTGTCTGTGGGCGGGGGGGGGGGGGGGAGACGCTCAAAAGCACTTGGCCGCTGTGGGTTTTAGCCAAGTGCTACTGGTGCTGGTGGGCAGGCGGGGGTCAGCGGCGTCCTCGGGGTCGGGGGGACCCACACCCTCCCCTCCTTCTCGGTCTCTCCATCTGCAAACCCTGCAGGACGCTGGCCTCACCGCAGCTCACCTGCCCCGGCCACGGCTCCTCCCAGAAGGCCCTGCCCTCCTCAGGTTGGCCATCCCAGAAACTTCCTTGTAGAGCTGGCCCAGCCTCGGGGCTGCGGCTGCACCGTCCATTTCTCACACTGCCTGCCGTGTCCTCTCTCGTCCTGGACACGGAATTAGCGTCAGGTCTGGACCCGAGTCTCCGCAGCCCCCCCAGCCCTCCCACTGCCCATTCTCTCCCGAGGCCCCTGGGGTCGAGGACAGGCCAGTGCAGGCCGGACAGCCTCGCTCTCGTCCACGTTTCCCTCACCCTGCAAAGTAACATGTTCACCAAAAACACGGCGTTTCCAACCAAAACCTCCTTGGTCCCGCGTCGCTGTCCTGCCTCCTTCTGCACGCACACATCCCCACAAACCGGCAGTGAGACCCAAGGGGCTCCTGGTAGCTGCAGCCCAGGCTGGGGCACTTGTCACGTCTTACCTCTCCTCTCGACAGTGACTTCATGGGGTGAGCAAACTGTCCCTGCTGCAAAGGCCAGGTTCAACGAGCTTCCTCAGGTGACATGGGTGGTGACAGGCAGGACCCAGCTCGGAAGCCCCAGCACCCAGGGCACCTGCTGGCTGCTTTTTGTCAGAGCACCTGCGGCTCCTGGCTGTCGGGAGCTGCACTCACACAGGGCCTTCCTCAAGGGGCTTCGCTTCCTACTTGGCCTCAGAACCAGGGCTGGAGCCAGGTCCAGGGTCAAGGTCAGCTAGAGGGCTGGGGAGCCCCTGGGCCAGCCCTGCAGATTCTCATCTGCTCTGCTCTGCCCCCCACACCTCTCCCACCTGTCCTGCAGTGAGAGGACAGCTCTCCGCTGATGCTCAGAGACGCCCCAGGTCGCAGGTGCCGTCCCACGGAGACCCTTCGTATTGAGAGGGTCCAGAGACCTGGGAACGACGGCATCTTTATTTCCATGCACCTCCGGCTGACTGTGGCTGATAAACTGGAGGCTTTGTCACCAGTTAAAAAATCAGGTATTTTCATGTGACGTTAATCACTGCAGACTTTCCATCATGTTTGCGGTGCTAACCACTCTGAAGTTAAAACAGCCGTTAGACATCAGGCCTTGTTACTTAACCAAGTCAGAAGCACGTATTATAAAAATATTTTGATAACTGTCCCCGTATAATTAGCCATCTTTCTAGTCCCATGCGATGCGTTTTATTCATTTGAAAAGCAAGCTGTCAGTCAGCAAACCGCAGAGGACCGGGGTGGTGGCCCGGGAGGCCCTGTCGCTGCGGCTCCCCAAGGACACAGGAGCCCTGTGACCCCTGGCTTCCTGCACATCCAGCGCTTCCAGAACTTTCAGTGCTGACAACTGCCGTGGGTGACCATCGCTGGCTGCATAAGCCCTGGGGTGCAGGTTCTGGGCCATGGGGCCTGGAAGTCTGTGGGGTCGGGTGTGTCTCCCCTAAAGAGGGCCCGTGAGAAGGACAGATGGACGGTGGGGGGTGTGGGGAAGAGAAAGAGGATACGAAGAGACAGATACACGGGGGAAGCATCCTTTGTTTTCACCGTCTGCTCGCGCCCTGATGGCGGGGACAGGTGGCAGACAAGTGGTCTGCTCACAACGTCACACCCCAGGACCGAGCTGGGGCCTGGCCAGCTTGGGGTCGCTTGTTATTTGAGATAATAAACGTCCTTTCACGAAACTGCGTTTAGTTGGGGTTTCGGCCACGCAGGGCTGGACGTGCTCCAACCGACCGCTCCCTGCAGTTCGGGGGCCCCACGGACAGGTTGTTCCTGGAAGCCCTTGGGGAAGCCCGAGTCTCCGCCCCAGCCCTGGGAGGCCGACCCTCCCGCCCCCGAGGGCCCACACATCCCCTCAGAAGCGCAGGGCCTTTCTGAGGCTCCGCTTTTATTCTCAGGCCTGCGTTCACGGTCTGGATCTGAGTTTAACTCCCCGGTGGGATGGAACCCACGATGTCTCTTCTGCAGCAGTCCCCCGACCAGCCACAGGTGCACAGGCAGAAGCTGCCAAGGGTCTTTCTCGTCACTTCTTTGGGACCCTGTGGACACGAAGCCTTTTGGAAACATGACACACGTTTCCAAGCCATTGGCAGGCACAGGTGATACACAAAATCAAACACATACACACTGTATTGTTACTAAATGGCTCAGAAATACGTAGTACATCTAGGAAGGCAATTTTCTCTCGGGTCAGTCCATGGACAGAGATGGCGAGAAGAGCTGTTTTATTTTTCTGGCTGAATAGACATTTTTTTTAAATGGGAAATATACTGTGGAACCAAGGAGCTGAGTTGGGTTGTAACTACTCTATGAAAACTTTGCAAATGTCTTCTCTGCTCCAGTCCAGGGCTCAGAGAGTCCCCCCCCCCGCCCCCCCAACTCATCCCTGAGTACGAGGCGGGCCCTTCTGTCTCCCCGCCCACTGAGCATCACGCCCACTCTGAGCCTGCGGAGCACTTTGCCTGCCATCTTCTCCTTCTTCCTTTTTTTTTGGCATTTAACATGCTTCCTGTCCTCCTTGGTCTCCAGAACTGTCAGGGCAACAGAGTTTCTCAGAAAATATTTATCGAGTGAATAAACTTTTCCCTGTTGCCAAAGCAAGAAACACACACACGGATCCCTCCAGGACTCTGACCGACACGGCACTCACGCCGAGCTTGTTTTGTTTCTCAGGAGGCAGGAGAGCCGGATTTGTGGTGGGCTCCACTGCAACAGAGAAAGGGGGCGTGTAAACGTGGCCTCCAGAACGTCGGAAACACTGTCTGGGCGGCCCTTCTGGCACCCCACCCCCTCACTCGATGTCACTCCAAACCACTAAGAAGAGCTGGTCAAGGTTGTGTGTCCCTGACACACCTGTGTGGCCACCGAGAGGTAGGTACTTTAACAGGGTGAGCATGTGCGTGGGGAGTGGGGTCGGGGGGACCTCAGCCAGCCAGATGGACTGGAGCGCTCAGTAACCGGAGAACAGGCACATGGACTTTAAATACTGTGCAAATATCGCCTGCCTTTCCCACCCGGGTTCAGACTGTGGGCTCTGGGTCTGGGTGCCCGGCACAGACTCCAGGTGAGCACCTAAGAGTGGTGTGACCTTGAGCAGGTTAGCCCCTGACCTTGGGCAGGGTCGCAGCTTCAGGCGCCAGCTCCGCAGCTGGCTGGAAAACACAGCCCCAAACACGACCTCTCAGGGTACTGAGAAAATAGTGAGAATGTATTCAGGGGCCTGGCTCCGTGCCTGGCTCACCAGAAACCCACTGCGAATGGGAACGGCTGTTACTACCAATAAGAATCAACCACAAAAGGGCGCAGCGGTAAAGGGGGAATGCGTCTTAGGAGTGTGACAGGAAGTGGCAACTGCGCAGCACCCCCTGACGCAGACAGACCCTAATCAGCGCTGGGAACACCCGCCGCCTCCCTCTGCCCAAGAACGACTGCAGCTGCCGCCAGGGAGCGTTATCTATAAAGTATCTTCTCTTTATTTAAGTTAAACAATTTTCAAGGATGGTTTCCATCTATAAAATGGACAAAGTACAAGCTCTGTACAGCAGTTCTTTTAAAAAATCAACTGGAAAAAAAATTACCAAACTATATTTTGAATTTGCAAAACATACTCACAGACACCACCATCTCAGCGCTTACAAAGACACGAGAAAGGCTGTCACCGGAGGGCGACGGCCGCGCCCCGTGTTGCTCGGGGGCTCTTGGGAACGGGTCTGCGTTTGTAAAAATGGAGCGGGAGGGCGGGGCGGGCCGGTGACTACAAAATAAAGCAACCACAGTAAGTCACTTTGGCACACACTGTGTCGTGTAAACATAGCTCGCCTCATGGGAGCCCTCCCAGCCCGCCTCTGCTCCAGGCCTCCGTGCAGGGGGCCACGGCACCTGCTCAGGGACAGAGAGACCCCCCCCCCTTTGAGGGACAGGAAGTACCAGTCCCAGGGAGCAAGGTTGGCTAGACGGCGGGTTGGGTGGGGGTGTGGGCGGAGGACCGTGGGGACCCTATGACAATTTGTTTTCCGTCAGCGGGTTTCTCTAACAGCAGTAATCGCTCACAGGGGACAGGCCCGACGACAGAGGCCAGGTGCCGGGCTGAGGGCTCCAGCTGCGCCTGGATTCAACAGCCTCGCACAGGGACCTAAGCCTCTACCCAGGGGCAGACCCACCATCCAGCTCAGCCTCTGAGGACGTCACGGTGTGAGTTCACCCAGCCCCGGCCACCCCCGCCACTGGCGGGTGCCTGGTTGCCCGGCCGGGCGTACAACAGAGGAGCACAGAGGACAAAGGCACCGAGCCACGCTCTGTCCCCACCGCCAGAGCAAACTCGGGCAGAGGAGGAAAGAGCAACAGTGTCCCCTTTCCTCAAAGAAACGCGAGGGGCCGGGTGGCACTGGCAGTGTCAACCCAGCAGGGTCTTTGGGACCACTCTCACTCTGTGACCTCCCAGCGCCTCCGGAGGGGCCTGAAGATGCGCTCAGCACACAGGCCCCGCTGCGTGGAGCTCGTGGGCTGCCCAGCATGGCCGGCCCCTTGGAGACCGGGCATGCGTGGGAGGGCTGGGCCAAGGGGGCCGCGGCCAGAATGACCAAGCAGCCCTGCTCTGGGGCTGGTCGCTGCAGGTGGGGACACCTCAAAGGCAAGGAGGGCTCTGCGGGAACGTCGCCGGGCACGCAGGTGGTCGCCCAGGTGTTTCCTCCTGTTGCTACTTTTAGTTCGCGACTGTCTGTGGCTCACGCTGACTTCTGCTTCGACCACAGGCTGCTGCTCCAGGCCCGAGGCCCCGGCACCCGCGGGCTGGCAGTGCTGGCTCCCACCCTTCCTGGTGCTCGGCCGGAGCTCCCACGGCGCCCCGGTGGGGAGGGGTGGAGCAGGCAGGGCCGGTCCTGGGGCCTCAGGCCCTCTACGGCGCCGCTGGCACAGCAGGACTCGCACGATCAGCCTGGCACCAGCCTGTGACAGCTTCTGACAGTCACTGGGAGCTATGGGACTGGTTTTTTTTTTCCTTTGAGAAAAGAAATTTAATTTAAAAAGACCTAAAGCAGTATGTGTCAAAATAAGCAACCCGTCCAGGTTTACAGCTACCAAGGGCACAGAACGTGGACTCCAACACACAGCAGCGACCGACTCCCAGGCCAAAGCCAAACAGAGGCGTGCCGCCCAGGAAGGCCCCGCTGGCCGGTGGCCCCGCTCACGCGGGGGCCGCCCCCAGGGGCAGCGGCCACGCCTGCTCCTCCACACGGCCACGCACTGCTTCATGGGGAATTTACATGAGGACGACCTACGGAAACCAGAGGGGACTGACCGCACGCGCTCTCCTTACATGTATTTATATGTGGCGTCCCACCACGGAGAAGTTCGTATCAAACACGGGCGGACGCTGTGCACAGGGCCAGCTTCCCCGACCCCCTGTGGCTGGGCGCCGGGGGTCGGGGAGGGAGGAAGACGGAAGCCTGCGGGGCGACCGACGGCTGGTGGCCCAGGCACCACGTACGGCCGCCACAGGCCGGCAGTGGAGCTGTGCGGCGCTGGTCTCGCTGCTGCGACGGAGCGGCCCGTGCCCCTTCCCTCTCCGAGTCCCCTGTCCGCACGCCTCCGTGGTCGCTGGGGACGCCCCTCAGTCTGAGCGAGGCCCGGGGGGAAGCTGGGAAGGGCAGCCGTGGCCTCCGGAAAGGGGGCCTGGCTGCGTCCTGCGACTTGAGGGGGGCAGTACTCCTTCCTCGCCACGTCCTCGCCCACGCGGCCCTCGGGCCTTGCAGCTGGGCTCCGACCTTCAGACCTTGATGGAATACTGAGGTATATAGTTTCACGGACAGTTTGAGAGACACGATCGACAAGCTGACCGACCATCCGACGTGGCCCACGGGGCAGGAGGCGGCCGCCGCCGCAAAGCCGCTACTGCTGCAGGTTGAGTGAGAACTTCCACTGCTGGGACAGCGCAGGGCCGCACACCTCCACGCTCAGGCCGCCCGCCTTGGCCGCACGGCTGTCCAGGCACAGGTTGCTGCCCACATGCCGCAGCTTGGAGTTGCCCTCGATCTGCTCCCATTTCTGCAAAACACAGGGGGCCTCACCATGCGAGCATGAGCGAGGGGCACACGTGTCCCGTTTCCACAGGCACGTGGCTGTGTTAAAACCCACACACATTCTCTTCTGGTGTCTGGTCACGAGGGCTGGGGGTTGGCAGGGGCCCTGAGACGAGGCAGCCGCGGGCGCTGCCCAGGGCCCGGAAAGAGACCCCTGCCCACGTTGGTTTGCCACTGGAAACCCCTGCCCTGCTGGGGCCCACTTCGCTCACCCCATCCTGTCCTGCCCTGGGTGTCCCCGCATCCAAGGCCCATGCTCTCCCCGAGGAAATTTGCATCCATTCAACAGAGGGCTTGGTCTGATCCTTTTCCCCAAGAAGGGGGCCACAGGAGCTGGGCCAGCTCCCAGGGGGCACAGTCCAGCCCCTGGCTGTTGGAAGGTGGCCCTAAGGGACCACACTCAGGTGAACAGGAGGCACTGTGTCAGGTGGGACAACAGGATGCGAGGTTGTGGCCAGAATGTCAAGTGAGGAACCTATTTCTACATTGTGCCTTTTCTACTAGCGTGTGAGCTCCCGGGTGGGTGGGAGACCCAGTCTCAGCCGCCCTCCAGTCCCCCAGTGCTCTGCGTGGCAGGGACCAAACAATATTTGTTGTGTTCTGAGTGTTCCACTTGTAACACAGGGTACAGTGTCTCCTACTAACGTGTGCACCCCCCACCCCCACTAGCACCACCAACCCAACTCAGCCAACCGACCAACCAACCTCAATGACCAACCGCCCCATCCACCAGCCAGCTCAGCTCCACCCGCCAATCAACCTGCCGAGTCAGAAAGCAGAGTCCGAGGCCCGGCCTGAAGGGGGCGCCTCACCCTGTTGTTTATTCCCACATAAAAATCTCTAATGCTTATTCTTAAAAAAAAAAAAAAAGCAACCCCCTTTTTGCTCCCCAAAGCTCTTCCTTCATGAGTGTGGTCTGCGATTCTAATTAACTATTTACACCGTGCGCACTGAGGCTTCTTCCTGTATTTTTGCAAATCCTTTTGATACTGTGGGAGTCAATTTTCTTCCTCTCGCCTTCCCTTCCCCTCTGACTCCTCAAATGCACACAAAACACGGACATACTGACGTGCCTGAAAACCAAATATTCCAACCAGCAAGACGGTGCTGCTTTAAGATAAAAATAGCCAGGGCCTCTCCTCAAAGGGCAAATGGAGGAGGCAGGGAGGAGCCAATCGCTGGGAATGGACCCCCCACGGGGGTCGCGGGCACGCAGATGCCCTCCAAAGGACCCCCGCGCGCCTCTGTGCAGCCTGCTAACCGGGAGCTCCTGCCCACAGCGAGACCCGTGTGGTCCTGTGGGCATGGGGGGGCTGCCGAGGCCTGCCTGGCGCCCCCCTTCGCCCTGGCCCCCTCCTGCCGCCTGTCACTGCTGGCGCTGCCTTCCTCCACCATCACGGACAGTGTGCGCACAGCTGCCACCACCACGTGTCACTCTGAGGGGCCAGGGACCAACCTGACAAAGAATGCAGGGTGAATGAAGTCCGGTTCCCTTCTCGGGGTAGGGGGGGTGTCTGTCAAGCCTCAAAGCGTCTGCTAAGCGGAGGGCCTTGAAAAGCGGTCGCCCCCCGCATCGTCCCCCTGCCATCCCTGGGTGGCAGCTCCGCCAGTGCGGACAGCAGTCCGGGGGGCTGTCGTGGGGGAGGGCGCGTTCCTGAGACATCGGGGCTCTGCGGAAACCCAGTAGGAACCTCACTGCTAACGGAACACCCCTCTCTCAGGGGTCAAGTCTCGGGGCAAAGGGTTCACCAGGTCCTCACACATGCCACGCGCCCAAACAGCCAGCTGCGCGCAGGCCTTTCAGGGGTGTCGGCGAGGGTTCCAGAGAACTGGGACCGTGGCAGGCACACCTGTCAGCCCTGAAAATGAAGCAAGCCCTTGCTAAAGGAACTCCTCCACAGACGAAGCACCCGTCTGTTCTCTAAAAAGGCCTGGAGACCACGTGGAGTCAGCGCTGCCCCTTCCAGATCCCCTCGGACTGGGGCAGGTACACCCCCCATGCCCAGGGGAAGCTGGGCAGGGCTGTCCCAGCTGCAGACCTCCGGGTGGCCTGGGTCCAAGGGACAGCGGCCTCTCTCGTTGAGCAGTCCTTCTTACCCCCCAGGGTATTACACGGTCAGAAACTCTATCCTCGGCACGAGGGAATATCACGAGGACCGCTGACAGTGAGGAGAGCCCTGAAGAGCAGGCCCCCTGCCACGCCAGGCCGGGGGTCCACAGAGAGGAGGAGGAGGGGCACTGCGGACGGCCCTCTGCAGCCCCTCTCGGACACCTGGGGTCTCTGCAAGGGACCTGGGCTGGGCCTCAGTCTTCAGGGGACGTGGGACAGGGGACTGACTCTGGGTCTCTGCTTCCCCTGTTGTGAAACCGTGTGGGACCAGGTAGGTGCCCGTGCAGGCTCCCGGCTGCAGCGGGGTCTCCGTTTCCCTGCACCCACCTGTCTCATTAGGAGGGACCATATGATGACCCAGCACCCTACACGTTGGCACCTGGGAAGGTCCTTTAGGTGCCTCACCATCTGACACTGGCCACTGACCCACGGCTCAGGGAAGGGTCTGCCTCCGGCTTCCCACCCAGGGGCACACCAGAGAGACCAGCGTGAGAGGTGAAAATACATTCTGAACTGTCTGAAAACAGTGTCGGGCAGGAACCCCAGCAGACACACCTGGGTGCGGGCTTGCGCTAGTCTCATCCACGTGGACTTCGTCACTTAGGATTTTTGTAAATCAAAAGTACGATACTCAATGAATAAACAGAAATGTGCGATTTCTCTGAAAACCCAATAGCACGGGGGAGGAGAACGGGAAGGTGGCTGGACGAGGTGCCACCGGCCTCTGGTTCAGACGAAGGGCCCCCCCCCTCTGGCCTGGCTTTCTGCGCCAGGGTCCACCGGTGTCGGCGCACAGAAACGACCCGGCAGCGAGCCCCCCACCAGTGACGTGATTAGCGACCTGGCCTGAGGGAGGTCTGAGGGAGCAGCAGGTTGTGGGGACCCGGCCACGACGCTCAGCACTCAGACCCACACAGGCCAGCTGCTGCACCCCATCTCCCCGTGCTCACTGGTGCCACGAGATGAAAACTTTCGGGGTGCCCACGTGCAAGTGAGTGCGCAGTGCGGCTGCTGACCAGAGGCTTCGGAAAAGGGACTGCCGGCACCAGAGGCTTGCAGCCCAGCCCGCGCCCGGCCCTGCGCCGGTCCTTACAATCCGTGGTGGGAGCGGGGCACCATCAAACAACATGGCCCCTGCCTTTTCCATCTAATTAGAGGGTGAAGCCCGCGTGTGAACAGACCAAGAGGAAACAGGAAGACGTGAGCCAGGATGGACGCCCTCGTGGGAGAAGGAAACGACAGGCGGAGGAGAGGAAGCGAACTGCGTCCAGAGCAGGTGCTGGCGGGAGCTCACCGCCTTCAAGCTCACCGCCCAGACCTGCCAAAGCGTCCCAATCCCACGTCCGCCCAGGCCTGCCACACGCCAGGGGCTCTGCACCGTGTTGGGGTTACAGTGGGGGGGGGGGAACTCAAACCGAGTAAGGCAGCTGGACATGAATCACGTTAAGTGCTCAGTGCGGCCAGTCGGAGGGGCCCAGGCACCCCGAGGGCCGAGAACCGTACCTGTCTGCTGTCGTTTTCTCGGCAGCCCTGCAGCTTTATGAGCGAGCCGGGTGCCCGGTCCACCACGGTCAGGCACAAGTCCATGTGCTTCACCGACTTCTCCTTGGTCAGGGCCCACTCCTGGAACACAGGACCACACAAGGTCAGGGGCATGGGCCAGGCAGGGCTGAGGACTGAGAGGAGTGGGGTGGGGGCCGGAAAGGGGGCGGGGAGCTGGGAGTGGGTCCCCAGAGCCAGCGCAGAACCATCACGTGGCCCTGGGCCCGTGATGCACATCTGCAACTGGGGGTCATGGGGGCCCACGGTTGGGCACCAAGGGCTGTGAGAACCCGAGTAGGATGAGCATTCTCAACCACGTGGGCCCCGATGCAAATGCGAGCACCCACCCACTTTTCTGTCATTGAATGTGAGCTGTGAACACTGCCTCTCGGGCTGGGCGACCACAAGACACAGAGCTCAAGGCCAACTCTGCTCACGTTCGGAAAGACTCTGCCCCAGGCACGTGTGGTTTGAGAACAGCATTGGTGAGTGCGGACTGCAACATGTAAATGTTCTGGGTGACACACAGCACAGGTGAGCAAAATGTGCAGTGTGCCGCCTCACAACTGTGCATGCGCGTTCGCACGCTTGCGGCGCAGCGTCCGTGGTATGCCAGTCCTTACACCAGAGCCCCATGAGACGCTACTATTAACTCTGTATCGCAGATGAGAAAACTGGGCTGGAGGGCGGAAGTAACGGCCCGTGATTTTCAAAACCACACACGTACCCCCAACATCCTCACATGAACCCTGAAAGGGCGGGGACAGAGGGGCGAGCACGGTCATTTAGTCTGAACACTACACGAGGCCGTGTGGACGGGCAGGAAGCTGGAGGGCGAAGGTGGGCGAGTGTGGCCACGGGCAGGGGCAGGCTGGGGGCCTGCTCTGGGCAGGGCAGCCGGCGGCGCAGGGAGGGAGGCTTCTGCCCTTCACTCTGGGGCTCGGCCTTTCCAAAGGCCCTTGGACGTCAGTGCCTCACTGGTTGTCATAATTAGACATCCCAAGTACACGCCGTGCGGAATTCTAGGGAAAGTCATTCCACGTCAGACACATTTGGGAAACACTGAATTCAGACCCTGTTTCTCTCCTGCAAATTCATCAAAATGTCCAAAGTCGGAGAGCAGAGGGACCCGCTTGGCCTGTTTTCCTGTCACCCTGTCCCCACCCGCCCGCATCGGGGCTCCCGAGGCTGCACTCTGCAGAGCATTTCTCTGGGAAGGCCACACGCAGCCCCGAGGGTCGGTCCAACCCCTCCCCCAGACCCTGCGGCGCTCTTGTCCTGTAGGGGGCGCTGCCAGGGCCGCAGCAGGCACTTCAGGATGGCGTGTGGGGCCAAGAGGTCGCTGGGACCGTCACCAACCTGACCCAGAGACACCCTACTCTCGGGCTAGAGCAGGGGGATGGTGGACGACTCTGTATGGGAGGTTCTAGACTGTCCTGCGAAGCAGGGGTGGAAAGACGTTGGAAGGTTTGCTGACAACCAAAGCTCATGTCTGACTGTTCCCCCAACCTTCTCGCTGCCCTGCGCTGCTGGGAAAGCAGACCTGAGGCTGACGTCCAGAAAAACCAACTCGGCTATGCCACGGCTGGGCTAGTGGCCACTCTGCTCTTCTACCATGTGTACGGTCTGAGCTGGTAAAATAAGGTTCAGAAATAGTTAAGAAGTGCTTTTTTGAGCTGCCATTCTTAAAAAGCATGGCCATTAATCTCCCCATTTTCCGAGCTCTGCTGAGGCTGCACCAGAAACCACAGGGCAGCCCTCACTCTCCTGGGGCGGGGGCCCCACTTCCAGGAGGAAATGTTATGCGGCCACTCATGTGACGTCCATATGGCACACAACTCGCAGAAGTGTCCCCTTCCACCAGTTCAGATGGGACTCACTCACTACAGGTTTGTGAGTTGGAACCCCAAGCAGCAAGCATGGGGGTCCGTCTCCTCAGAACCGTACCCCACCCCGTGTGGTGCCACCAGCAGCCCTCAGCTCTCTGCACTAATTAAAGTTCAGTCCGGTAAGAAGACGCCCTCAGTGACACAAACCGCAAGTGGGGTGCTCAGCATGCAGGCTGGTGGCTTCCGTACTGGAAGGTCTGGAACATTCTCGCCATTGCACACAGCTGTACCAGACCAGAAAGCGGCTCTCCGGGCTGCAGGCGGTCCCAGGAGGAAGGCGTGCCCAGGCCTGGGGCGTGCCCCGCTCCTGCTCCCTGCTGCCCTGTCCTCCACTGGACAAGCCCCGCGGCCCCGCCGCTCACTCAGAGCCTCCTCCCCGGGGGCTCCCCGACCAGAGCCACGGCCACGCGCCTTCCTCCTGGGGACAGAAGGGGGGATGGCACAGGCCAGGCGGCCCGCTGTCCAGCAGCCACTGGCTTTCGTCACAAGCTGTGGGCTGAGAGGTGCAGTCCATCCCCACGCTGGCAGGGACGAGCTGGGCCAGGAGGCCCGGTGGACAGCAGCAGGGTGCCGGGGGTGCCGAGCGGGGCCAGCAGGACACCCTGCGGGGAGAGTCGGCACACACTCTCGTGTTAAGTGAGCTCCACCGACGAGACTCGTTGCTTTCCAGGACAGCTGCTGCCTGACAAAGAAGTGACCCCCGACTCTCACTGGGTCCTCCCCACTGCACAGGTGGCAGAGGAAACCCGGACGCCCAATGGGGGAGGTGCAGCCGCCCTGAGGCGAGGGGTCGGAACTACGGACGGTGATTGATTTGGGTCGGCACCAGCTGGACTTCTGAACCGCCGCCAGGTGGCCAGACCGAGGCCTGGCCTTCCAGACTCAGGTGAGCCAGCGCCTGGGGAATGAGGTCCATCTGTCCCTGTGCTCCCAGAGCTGCGTGTTTCCAAGGGTGAAATTACTCCAGTGTTTTCATCATGGTCAAGGACGAAAACGGAGAATACCGACCTGTCCCTGTCCTCACCCCGAGGCCCAGGCGGCGGGCAGGACCACGCTGCGTGTGGAAGGAACCACGCCTGCACCGGGGCATGAGCGACGGCCACAGCACGTGGTCCCACAGGGCTGCCATCACGGGGGAGTCCACGGAGGCCGGGAGGGCCACCTGGTCCCCTGGCAGGAAGCGAAACCTCGTTTCCCATCAGGGCCCCAGACAAAGGGCTGACAAGGACACGGCGATGCTCCCAGCAGGACGCGGCTCCCCGCCCCCCTTGCTCGGGTGACCTGCGGACACTGTTCCCTCCACTCCCCCCTCTGCTCTGCGTCCCCCCTTTCAGGTCCCTCTTCTGGGCCATCAAACACTGGCAGGGCCTGGGACCCACAGGGACCCGAAGCCCACAGCCTGTCCCCTGTCCCCAGGGAGCATCCTTGGTGCCCCAGAACGTCCTCTAAGGACAGAGTGGCGACCCTGGGTGCCGGCCCCCCTGCCTCCCTGCTCTACCTGAGGAAGTCCAGGCGGCTCCGGGCAACCCCAGAGTGACACCGGCGAGTGAAGAGCGGAGGCCAAGTCCTCGGGCGGCAGGCGCCCAGACGCTCCTCGGGAGGGCGCCCTCGTGTCCCAGCCATTCCAGTGTTTGACGAGGCTCCCGGGAGGCCCAGCAAGCCCTCGCCCCGCCCCTTCTCCCCGACCACAGAAGGTTTTCACGCCCGTAGCAGGCGTGTGTGTGTGTGTGTCAAACTGACGCACGTGATTACTAGTATTTTACGTCCTAAGCTATTATCATCTACTACGCAGGAAGGACTTGAGCAGTGGCCACGGAGCCCAGGATGACGTGCCTACTCAGTGGGGACACCAGAAGGCGCTCGCAGGCACAGACCTGGGGGTGAAAAAGGCCACCAGCCCCGCGGCCGGGCCCTGACAGTGGGTGGCAGTGGGTGGCAGTGGGTGCTGCTGCCAGTGCTCTCCCGGCCTGAGGCTGACGTCAGGCCCTGGGCACGGACCCAAAGCTGGGACATCCCAGGGGATCCCGGAGCTGGCTGCAGCCGGACGTGACCAGCAGAGGCCAGGAGCTTCCTCACAGACATCTCTGATGACAGGAGAACCGGGGGCTAGGACTCGTCACCTCGGGGGCCCCTCCGTTCTCTCTGGGCCTCCTGGTGCTCGAGTTCACCGCCTGCACATACCTGGTTCCCCCCGGCATTGTGACACTCGTACACTCCAACGACACCGTCCGCAAAGTGCCCCAAAGTGTCCAGGCAGTTGGTTCCCTGCTGCAAAGCCCCGAAAGCGATATCCTGATGGTCGGGGACCCTGGAAAGCAACACGAGAGTCGTCGGCTAGGGTCCGCGGGCTCGCCAGCTCTGGACGCCACCCCCATGCCGCTGGGTTCGTCCTGGGCAGCGGCAACCAGGAGGAGAAGGAGGGGCCGGGCCCAGGGCCCACCCACCGCAGGCGGACTGCGCCCGGGTTCCCAGCCCTCGCGAAGGTTTCATGTTGGAGAAGGATCGTTTCGGTTGTGTATCAGGGAAATTGTTTTGGAGAGAGAAAGCTCCTCTACTCTCCTGTCTGTTGGAAGTCGCTTGGAAAAGCCGTTGTACTGTGGGCGGATCCTGCCGCCTCCGTGCAGTGGGCTTGGGAGTTGACCTTTACCGAGAGGGAGGGGGCGTGAGGGGCTCATCGGGTGACTGGTACCAGCAAAGCCACAGTGCTGGGGCGGAGGTGCGAGCTTCAGGGTCGGCCTGCCCCCCGCTACCAGCTGGGGCGGCTTCACTCGCTCTCCCTCTGAACCTCGGTTCCACTTCCGCGTCCCCACCTGTCGCGGGTTTTCCCTCACACACGCCATTTGCAGGCCTGCAGCCCACTGCGGGCTCTCGGAAGCCCGTGGTGAGGAGCGGGGATTGTCTCTGACGTGACGCCAGTGTCACGTGGGTGTCTCCCCGCCCTGCACGAACGGGGTGGGGGTGGCGGGGCACAGGACCCAACGTCACCCCAGATCACAAGCAAAGAGTGGAACTGCAGTCAATGTCCCTCTGTCTGCTGCCGCTACCTACCCAGCCACAGGCGACTGTGACTGCAAGGCGGGCCCCGAGGGGCTGCCGCCCGCTGCTGTGAACACCCCTCACTGGCCAGGGCACAGACGGTGACTGGGCTTCCCTGTGACCAGCACCCTTCTCGGTCCCCAGCAAGACCCTCTGTCCTTGAAGGCAGAGGCACAGCTCCGCCGAGCGATGTCCCCGAGACAGGCCGTGTCACCTAGCTCTCGAGCAGAGCTCTGTGACAAGGCTCTGAGGGAGCTGCTGGCATGGAGGGTAACAATGGCGAGTCCCCATGAGGTGCTCTGGGGACATTCGAATAAGGAAAGTGCCCCACGAAGGCCGCACCTGTCTGGCAGTCTCTGAGAAGATGATGTTCAGACAGACCTACAGGCCCTCTGAGGAGGGCGTCACTGCTGCCCTGGGACACGGGGCTGCTGGGACATGGGGGCGGGGAGGTGCCCCAGCGAGCAGACACTAAGTGGGAAGAGAGGAGCAAGGGGGGCAAGGCCGCAGGTGCCGGTACAGGGGGCCGGCCACGGCGCCCGGCAGGGAGGGGCGCAGGGCAGAAGGCCTGGGGGCCGCTCCTCGGGCCACTCACTGAGCCAGTCAGATGAGTCATCTGGGTCACCAAGCCCGTCCTCTTACCAGTGGGGAATGAGCTTGGTGGGGTGACGGCTTGGAACTGTTTCAGGTCTAAGACGAATGGGAGGGTCATGCGGCAGAAGGGGAGCACGAAGCGCAGTTCAGGGAGTGCGTTCTCAACGGCGCTTGGGGACAGCTGCGAGGCAGGACACGGGTTGTCACTGAGCCCCAGCTCTGGTCTCTGACTGAGCACACACCTCACTCTATCTCTCGAGGCCTCGCCGCCTCTCTGACATCTGTTGCTTCCGAGCCCTGAAAGTTAACACCCCAGCCCCTCAGCACCTACCTCAACTCTGGGTAGACATTCTCAAGGTACCACTTGAACGGCTTGCAGCTGAGTTTCTTCCGAAGCTCCAGGCGGCTCTGAATACTGGGGAAGAGAGAACCGAGACTCTATCATGGATTTTAAGGCCTTAAGGACTGTTCCCATCATCAACCTCGGAAATCCGCCCACCAGGATGGAGCTGGGGCTGGCGGTGCAGCTTCCACTGTTCACACCTGTCTCCCTGTGACGCGCCCTGAGCAGAGGGCCCCCTCTGACACCTGGCGGCTGTTCTCGCCTCTGGCCTCAGCAGTTCTTGGGGTTCAGGCTGGCCAGAGCCCCACCCCATGTCCCTCCCCCAGGACCCCCAGCGAAGCAGCACAGGAGGGCGCAGGCGACACCTACTTGCCATAAGGGACGTTTCGGGCGGAAGGCACTGCTGCATAGTAGAAATTTTTGTACTCGTCCATCCAGACCTCTGCTGCCCGGCGGGTGTTACTAGAAACAAGCAAACTTCCTTGAGCTGCGCCCCATTTTCTGGCCGTCAGCCCCACGCGGCACCCGTCTGCGTGGAGCGCCACCGAGGACGGCGGGCCCTTCCCAGGGGCTGGCAGCTCTGGCAGTGACGCAGACAGCGGGCTGCCCCTGCTCGGCACCCGCTCACCGAACAGAGAGGACTTGCTTTCTTGTCCTTCATGGAACACAGATTATCAAGAAGCAGAAGTCAAAGTCAGGGTTCCTGCACAGGCAGGGACTTCACAGAAGGGGCTGGGGCATAATAAGGAAAGAAAAGGGGATTATTCTGCATCGACGCCGTATCAGGTGCCCACAGAAAGCTGGCACAGGGGCGCAGCCCGAATCCTGGCCTCTGCGTCCTTTGCCGTCATGGCTTTCCCACTACTAGGTAGCTCTGGAGAGCAGTTAAGAATAGGTAAGAGTTTTCATTACAATGAGTTTCTTTTCTGCACACTGAGGAGAGGGTCCTGTTTGCACAAGGAACAGTGACATGAAGGGGATGGTGGCCTCATGCCCCACATCTGGGGCCCCTCCTGGCCTGGGCAGGAAGGTCTCAGACAGAACAGGCTTTTCTAGAAGGCAAGGAAACCACGTGCTTCGGTCTCACAACCGTGGAGAAAACCACCACATGTGGTCGAGAAGCCACCGGACAAGCTGTTTGTGAAGATCCGACGTGTAACACAGGCCACCACACGCTCAGGATGGCATCCCGCCCGAACTCTCCTAAGTGTGTGTGAAAGGGTGTGAACACAGCTCCTGTGTGCGGGACACAGGTCCACGGTCGGCCTGTTCCTCAGGCCGAGGGCCGGCCATCCCAGGGACCCGCACAGAAGGCGTCTGTCCTTCCCAAACAGACAGGCAGGGAGGCAACCCGCACCTGTTAAAACAATTTCCTTCCTCCACCAGAAAGGTCACTTTCAGGCCCGGACCCGTGTGACTCAGTGGACTGGGCGCCGTCCCACACAGCAGAAGGTGGCCAGTCCAACTGCTGGTCTGGGCACTGCCTGGGCTGTGGGTTCAGTCCCTGATTGGGCCAATCCATGTTTCCCTCTCACACTGACGTTTCTCTCCCTCTTTCTCCCTCCCTCCCTCACTTCCCATCTCTCTAAATAGTAAAAAAAAAATCTCTTTTTAAAAAAGTTCTCTTTTAAATGGTAGCCAGTTATACAATTACTGAAATCATTTCCACCTGACATTTGTCCTTTACGCAAAGTGACGCAGGCGCCGTTTTCCTGCCCGGGGAGGGGAAGCTGGACTGACGTCCAGGATGCCACGTGGGCGGCAGATGAACACGCAGTGTGAACACGCCCACCCTCTGATCCCTGGAAGTTCACCTCGAGGAAACAGTCAGCTGGGAAGGAGAACAGACGCTGCGTGAAAGCAGGACCACCTCAGCATCGTTTCCAGCAGCCAATCAGACGCTACCTGACAGTCGACAGGAAGGTGCTCGAGTAAGTGACCGAGTGTGGCCACTCAAAGTACTGGTGTGCGCCTTGAATGCTGGCGTGAAATGACGCCCCCGACTCCTTGCTGGGTGCACACGGAACAGACTGCAGAACAGCACAGAGCAGGGAGGTGTGTGGACGGGGGGAGGCTGATGGGTGGATTCATCGAATTACGAGAGTGCTGTCTTTGCTAATGAGATCGGTCGTTTTTTACTTTCTGTGAGACATAGATACAACGCGTTGTAAAATATTCTTGCTGGGCCCCGGGGCTCTCACGGAGCGGCGCGGGCCTGAGCCCTCTGCCTGGCCCCACGACTTCAGTCCTCTGGGGCGTGGGCTCCCCGCAGTGAAGTGGGAGAGTCAAGGTCTCCCAGGCCCCTTCGGCCCTAATGCTTCTGACTTTACGAGTTCCAGTGGTTCTAAGTCACCTGAGTCATTGAGTCACTTGTTATCTCCTAAATGCAAAGCAAAGCAAGCTTTTTCTGTCTACTCCACAGAAAAAGACATGTAAGTAGTCTCAAGAATACGTGTTCTGTGCCATTCCATGCTAGTTTCAATTCATTCATTCTAACATTTATTAGGCCCCTACTGTATGCCAAACAGTCTTCTAGGTGCAACAGAGTGGCACCTAGAGAGGCCACTTGCATTTATTTGGGTTCTCCTGGCTTCTGCTCCCCCCACCACCCACTCAGGGCGGATGGAGCAGCTGGACTGAAGCAGGCAGGAGAGAGAAGCAGCCATTCAAGCCGGCCAGTCACTCCGCTTGGCAGTAATACTGAGAAGAGCATTAACTGCTTACACGTAAACACGAACGTCCATCCGAGAGCCCTACCCCGTGCCACACGGCCATCCTGAGTGGGACCTCCCCTGGCCTACGGTCAGCGCCAGTCGACACACACACGCATGCGCACACAACCCCCACAGTCCCGTAAGAGGCTGACTGGACGTGAAGCTGAGTGAAAAAGGAACCACCCAACTGCTCACTCTCAACAGGTTGAAAGGACGTGGCCGCCACAGCCAAGGGTCTGCTGGTGTGTCACCGTCTTACTCTTCCTGCAGCAACAGGTGCCACAGGGCACACTTGGGGATGGCCAAACAGGAGGACATGGGCTGCCTACTCTGTCCCCTCGCCCGCCACTCACCCACCACCAAGCTGGCGGAGACTGCCCTCCACGCTCCCTCCGTAGCCCCGCGGGAGTCCGCACCTAACCCCTGACTCAGCAACTGCTGGCCCTGGCTGCACAGAGGGGTGGGGACAGACGTCTGTATGTGGCAGTGACATGGGCTCTGGAGCCAAAGCTCTACCACTTGGGCCAAGGGCCAAGCCTTTCTGTACCCCAGTTTTCCTGATCTCTAAGTGAGGGTTAATAATAGCACTTCATTCATAAGCTTTCATGAGAATTACATAGGTTAACATTTATGAAGTATAGCCTGAAACTTGTAAAATGCTCTATAAACATTGGTGTTAAGTCCCCATTTTAAAATGATATACCTAGTCATTTGATGCTACCTACTAGAGGAAATCAGAGAGAACTCGGGACTGGAAAGGGGCCTCAGAAGCGACAAAGGTCCACCTCTTCATCTTTGCACAGGTCACTGAGAGAAAGGGGGCGGAGCGCCTTGCACAAGGTCTGATGGGGCGGCACTGCCCCCACACGGATGCCAGGGGTCAGTCTCCTCTCTAGACCTCCTCGCAGACCCCGGGGCTGTGAAACACAACAGGAAATGTCCCCTTGTGAAGAAGAGTGCTTTTGACAGTCTGATGGGAACTCCTTTGTAGACCTACATCCAAGATTGCTCTATCCAGCAAAGCTTTCATTTAGAATGGAAGGGCAGATAAAGTGCTTCTCAGGTAAGGTCAAGTTCAAGGAGTTCATCATCACCAAGCCCTTATTCTATGAAATGTTAAAGGGATTTATCTAAGAAAAAGAAGATAAAAAATATGAACAGTTGAAAGGACAGCAAACTCACAGTTACTAAGAACCACACCTAAAACAAAAACAAACTAAGAGGACAGCTAGATCAGGAGCAGAACCATAGAAATGAAGATCACATGGAGGGTTAGCAACAGGGGAGTGGGAGGAGGAGAAGGGGGGAGAAGGTACAGAAAATAAGTAGCATAGATGGTAGGTAGAAAATAGATAGGGGGGAGGGCAAGAATAGTATGGGAAATATAGAATCTAAAGAACTTGAGACACGTGGTCATAAACTAAAGGGGGGAAATGGTGGGAAAAAAATAAAGGGAATGGCAGAGTCAAAAAAAAAAGGAGTGCTTTTGTATCGCAGTGTGTGAAGCAGCGTCTTGCATCTTTTCACAGACAATGCCGTGAAACCCCCCGTTTGCTGGGGAACGTCGATGGCTTTCACGTCATTTGGGGGCATCTGTACGAGGGGCTGTGGGGAGAAGGCGGTGTTGCCCCGGGGTGTGTGTGTCTGATTTTGTAGGGCTCATGTTAAGAAACCACATATTTGTTTCTCATAGAGAACAAAATGGAAGTTCAGACAACCCTTAAAAAAGGATATACCTTTGGAGAGAAGGTCTTTTGGCCGGAAGCATTATTTGACATGTGACCCCTATTAAGGTTTTCTAGAACTCAGATTCTCGATGCTACGCATTCTGTTTCAGCACAACACATGAGCACTGTGCGGTCAGCTCTTAACAGAAGCTTTAAAATGCTAAGAGACAAGCAAATCATCCTCTCCGCCCCCCAGAGCACTCCCACCTGACTTGAGAGCTTGCTTTCTTTGGCGGGGGCACCAGGTCAGCTCCTGGGCGACCCAAAGCCTGGCTGCCCCCCTTCACTCCCCGCCCCCCGTCTCTGCCAACCTGTACGTGCCCCCGGCTGACCCAGAAGCACAGGGGCCTGACCCCTACGGTACAGTCCCGGGCCCAGGCCATCTCTTGCCCAGATACTGTAACAGCTCTCTGGAGTCGCCTGCCTCTGAGCCTGCAGAGGAGTGAGGGACATGCCCAACACCTTGTCATCCTGGTGTCACCTCCTTGCCACCCTCCTCCGAGCCAGAGGGCCCTCTCTAAGGCTGAAAACAGAAGGCAGGCACTGCCTGACACCCCCACTGACTGCTCCCCACCTCCCCCGCATCAGAACATCCGTCCCCCCAGCTTCCCGCCACTTACAGGGCAGGCCTGGGCTGGTCCATGTCTCCTGTCCCCTGCTCTCCAGGCTCCAGTCACACCTGGCATCCCTCTGAGCTGCAGCCCCTGGGCCGCTCATCCTGTCCTGTCCCGTCCCCGCACACCTCTCCTCCTCCGTGCCCTCCACCCAACTGCAGGGCCACAGCCTCTCTCCCCACAGCACTGACTGGGCATCCACCTGGCCCTGCAGGTGCTGGGCTGACCAGCCCCGCCTCCTTGAGGCTGGGACAACTGGCTTCTACACTGTTTTATCTTAAGCAGCTATGGAGTTCCCTAGGGGAAGGTGTGGTTCCTAGGGACTAATAATTGCTGTTTTTCTTCAGAAAGCTCTTATGTTGGCTAAATTAGCTCCACTAGCTATCATGAATCATATCTACATATTATGAGTCTTTCTGCTTGAATTTACTGCGGCTTGACTTTAATGCTGTTCACAAACTGAACCTTGAATAGTCACCTGGAATAAAAGAGTGTAAGCTCTCTTCCTTAAAAGAGCATTTTCTCACAGCATTTCTGGGTGTCCCATCCTGTGGGCTTTCACATGGGCGTGGGTCTCTCTGACCAGCCCCACGGGCACCAGGACAGACCAATCCGTTGGCCCCCAACCACGCTGTGCTGTTCTGGTCCTCACACCCTCTGCAGCCCCATCCGGCACCCCCGGTGGTCTGCATGGGACCATCGTGTCTTGCAGAGACGGCCCTGTAGGTGGCGCTGCAGAGGACACAACCTTCTGAGATGGCACCTTTGTCTCACTCAGGGTGATGCCCATGCAAAGCCCCCAGGACAGGTGCATGGGTGGCTGTTCCCCATCCCTGCCGAGTGGCGCACCACTGAAAGACCTGTTTCCCCATGGTCCCAGGTCGGCTCCTGCCCGGGTGGCGGTCAGCAGTGTGCTCATGCCTGCGCAGCCTCTCAGCCACTTACCGGGCAAAGACAGTGCCGCTGCCCCCGGGGAAAGTGTAGGGGTGCTGCTTCCGGAACACGTGCCCCACGCGGCTGCAGGGGATGATCTCCAGGCTGCCTCCGCACTGCCACACGCGGAAGGAGATCTCTGGGGTGGGGAAAGGGGCAGGGTGACCGGGTGCTCTGCACGGCAGCCGCTGGACAGGGAACAGATGCCCAGCCCCCAGCCCAGCCACGGGAGTCCTTGCTGCTGAGAGAGATGCGAGTACCCGGCAATCTCTTCCCAGAACACAGTCTGGAGTGTCCCGCAGTGGACACAGCTCCCACAGCCCGGATCTTCAGACCCCAATGGCCCAGGCAGGAAAGCATGTGCAGGTGGACGTCCTGCCTGGCTGGACTGCGGTGAGTACCCCTGATTGGCTGGAATACAGGGAGTATCCTTGACTTGCTGGACTGATTGGCTGCACTGCGGCGAGTACCCCTGATTGGCTGGAATGCAGGGAGTATCCCTGACTGGCTGGACTGATTGGCTGCACTGCGGCGAGTACCCCTGATTGGCTGGAATGCAGGGAGTATCCCTGCCTGGCTGGACTGCAGTGCGTATGCCAATGTACATGTATATGAAAACATCGACACATACACCTTAAATGTCCACAATTTTAAACGGTCAGTTGCGCTTCAATAAAACTGGAGACAAAGAGGAGGAGGGAAGACCTCACACTTCGGCTCGCTGGGAGGGCGCCTACTCCACAGCAGTGTTTTGTAAACACTACCCAAACGGAATTTCAGTCACAACGTTGAAGAGTCTGCGTTTCCCTTGGGCAGCTTTCCTGTATTCTAGCATCCTGCCCTCTCGGGACAACGTATTCCAATGCCCAACCCAAGACTCTTCTAAGAACAAAGGGGATGCCATTCATACTGATGCAGGGGACTGATTATGCCCGATGAAAGGTCTAAGTCTCTAAAAACGTTTTCCAGTCAGCACCCTGCACACCACAAACCCTTGCCTGTCTCTTCAAAGCTCCCACTGGTCCTTTCCACCCCTTCTGTGGACAGGAAAAGAGCGTGGTTTCCTGGGAATCGGAAACTGTCTGGCAGCGGAAGCCACGAGGCTCCTACGTACCCAGGTTCTCGCCTCCCCACACGTCCATCATCATGTCGTACTTCCCCAGCTCTTCAAAGTAGGACTTATCCATCACGAACAGCCCTCCAGCGATCATGGGCGTTCTAAAGAGGCAGAGAGGGTGGAACGGAAGGGGAGGCCAAAGGTCAAGGTGAGCTCACCAGCACTGTCACCCAAGGTCTTGCCCACACTCTGACATTAAAAACAACCACACCGGGTCATTCTTTGCCCAGAGCTCTGGGTGCCCTCCTGCTTTACCCTCCACTACTGTCTTCGACTGCCTCCCCCATCTGCCCTGCGAGACACCCCCACAGCGCGAGGGGCTGGACTGAGTCCCGGATAGAGTGACCACTGGGGTTGCTGGCACTTGCTGACTAGGGGCCCTGGGCAAGGTCTCGGCCCTTCTGCACCCAGATTCCTTAGAGGACTCCAAAAACACCACCATGGAGCAGCCCTCGCACTTAGGACACACTCGATGACATCAGCTGTCTGAGACAGTCCCTGTCAAGGCGCAGGCGCCTCCTCTGTCTGAGGGACCCACATCCCCGTCAGCTTGGGAAGGGATAACAATGTTCAGAGAGCCCCTACTCCATCCCAGCAGAGATGCTGTGAGAACGACTTCAGTGTCAAAGTGCTGGAAATGGTCTACAGCATGATGGTCTACGGCACGCCAGTGTACAATGGCACGCTGGTGCACCGCACAGTAGTCTACAGTACACTGGTTTACAACATGCTGGTCTACAACATGCTAGTGTACAGCGCAGTGGTCTACAAGAAGCTGGTGTACAATGGCACGCTGGTGCACAGCACAGTAGTCTACAGTACACTGGTTTACAACATGCTGGTCTACGACATGCTAGTGTACAGCGCAGTGGCCTACAAGAAGCTGGTGTACAACACGCTGGGGTGCAGCACAATGGTCTAGGGCACGCCGCAGAGCAACTGGGCAGAGCCATGCTGGGCTGGCAGGTGGGTCTCAGGGTCACAGCCCACTCTGAGGCGGTGGACGTGCACCCTGACTCCCTGCGTGGACCCGGGCATGGCCTGGGAACCGAAATGCCAGGAAGTCGCCTCCTCTGTGGGCAAACAGGAGAGCGGACCTGGACGGGCAGCTGCAGAGGGGCATCCCGCCAGGCCCAGCCCCCTCTTCCCGGGCCCCTGGGGTCAGCTTGGGGAGCCGCCCTGTGCAAGAAATGTTCTGTACCAGAAACACAGAGACACTCAGGACGGGCAGGTCTGCCTTCTGTATAAGCATCATCTGAAGACAGAAACCTGCAGATGCCCCCCTTGAGTTGACATGGGGGAGGAGGAGCTGGGGGCTCCGAGGGGGAGGAGCTCCGTCAGGCCTGTAGGGAGCCGCCTGGGGTCTCCTCCACAGCCCGGCACTTACTTTATGGGGGCGACGGGGTTGCCCTGCCGGGCCCTCCGCTGCTCAGGCGTCATGTAATCCCACTTGAACACCAAGTTCCAGTCGAAACCTGCCGAGCACGGGAGAGAGGCACGGACACTGACACACTGGCCGTTTGCTCCTGGCACCTGCCGACACTTGCAGCTTAAAAATACTAGACATCAGGGTAAGACTCACTGAAACTAGAGCAACGCAAAAAACATGACAAAACACACAAAGATGTGGCACAGAGGGGGTGACCGGGGAGGAGAGCAGCGAGGAGGGCACACTGGAATTTCCTTTCCCCAAAAAGCTTCTTCCCGGCTCCTTCTTTCAAAAGTGCGTGACGGGACCTTCTGGAGGCTGCAGGACACGTGACATCAGGGCTGGGAAGACAACAGGACTCGGACTCGTGTCGGCACATGTTCTGTCAGGTTCTCGGCTTTGCTTTCTATCTCTAACACAGCAAATGTCGGCATCGGTGCGCACTCGGCCGGAAGTTCTCTGGGGCCTGCGCTACTTCTAAGGAAGGTAAGCCATTCTGGCGCTCGGTGGGGGGAGGGTTTGAGGGCACACACTCGGAGGCTGCGAGGACCGACAGGGCACAGGGTGGCCGTTCAGACGCAGGTTATTGGACGTGAAGCAGGACCTGGGTGGTCCAGGTGGAAAGAAGGGGCCAGAACCAACCACATGTCGGTGAGATTGGCAGGACTTGGTTACTAGTGAGCAGGAGTCAGGGGTGACCAGGCATCCACTGGGCACCCAGGTGGGTGGGTTTGTCACCAGGACACTCAGGCTGCTGGAGGGGCTGCAGGAGAGGGGACGCTCCGCCCTCCCGAGCTGCTCAAACCCGAGCCCAGGGCCCGTCACACACCGACCACCAGCTCTGCGGGCTCCTCACCCCAGACGCCTGGGGTGGGAGGGAAGCAAATCCTTTCTGATGAAAAGTGACCGCAGAACTGCACTGAGCCACACAAGCCACTACAGCAGCAGAAATTCAAGAGCTACAAGAAGAACAGGAGACCTGAGAAGCCCTCGGAAGAAGCCTGGCCATTCCCTGTGCTTTATGAGACTGTGCTTGCCGAGCACAGGTGCTCGGAGGGCAGGGGCTGGCCGTCCCCATCACCCATGACACTGACGGGGCTGTGCTCAGGTGCCTCGCAAACAGGAAGAGCAAGGCGGGGGGACCGGGAGCGGCACCTACCGCCTTTCAAGTCAGCGGATGCCCCCACGTACTGGAAGTTGTCCATGTTGATGACGTCGATGATGGGTGACACGACCCGAGTCCTGTCCTGCAGCAGGAAGAAGGAGAAGGCAAGAGTTGTCAACTCCAACGGAGGACCCAGCCCCTAAAGGGCGGCGTCAGCAAGGCAGGTGCTGTGACAGCTGGCTACCTTCCTCCCTGGCCCATGCCCATGGAGACCTAGCCTTCCCAGCCCGGTGCCGTCAGGTGGGCAGGTCCCCTTCTGCGCCAAGGGACAGAGGGAGCTGGGATGGGGGAGAATGGCTCCCTGAGATGGGATGCGGGGGCCGTGGTCAGCCCAGGCATCTGTTCACTCGGTTGGAGGCCTGGACGGCACCAGTGTGTCCCGGGGTCCTTCTCTGATTTCCCAAACATCTAAACTTCAGCCCCGGCGTTGCTTTCATTCTGAGCTCAGCTGCACTTGACCGTGGGTGATCTGTGAGTGGCAGTGAACCTCAGGGACGGACCGAGGGCTGAGATGCCCATCAGCAAAGTTAGAGGCACAGGAGCAGTGTGTGGCATGCGGAGTACCAACACAACTACAACACGAAGTGACCAGAGGGTTCTGGAGGCTAAGTCTGTCCTACCCGCAATTTTGCCAGACAATACACCCCCCTACACTGAGGCACGTCTCTGTGCAGCCCTGCCATTGTTCTGCTAGGAGACCTTGTAAGCCCGAGGCCTTTTAACTTTCCTGCCTCTCCACGTCCAGACGGCTGGCCCTGGCGAGAGACACGGCCCCGAGCCAGCGGGTAACAAAGAGCCAGCACTTTCCTGAGCTGGTTGATGAGCCCCGTGTCAGCCAGGAGATAGACTCCGGGACAGAAATTGGTGTCAGAACACGGTACATAGGAGAAACACACCAGGAGAGTATGACAAAGCTCCCGGGCCACCCAGGTGCACATTTACAGGGAAACCCAGTGACCGGTGCGGGGCCTGGAGAGCAGAGAAGAAGGAAACCCTCGACACCTGGCTCAGTCGGGGCCGGGGTGTGGGAGCTGAAGAGCAGGATTTGTTCTGCCTCTAGGGCCCCTCGGCTCCTTCTTGTTTCCTTTGGTAGGACTGGCACCAGCAAAAACGAATGTCTGCCACCCTCCCTTTAGGGAGGGGTCTCTGACACAGCTCTGACAGTGCCTTCACAACTCAGGTATCTGGGGTGCAGCCTGCGTGTGGCCTCGGCTTTCCTGGCACAGCCTGGTGGGGCGAGGGGTAGGCAGTGCAAACCGGACGGGCTCTGCTCTCGGCGAGGCATGAGCAAGTGTTGTGAGAGGCCTCCGCCATCAAGCACTCGCCGAAAGCTATTCTGCCGCCTGGGCTTTGCCACCGATGTGACTTTTGGTTAGTCACTCAGGTGCCCGAGACCCCGGTTCCTTATCTGTCAGACGGCAGCGACCCCTGGACTAAAGGTCACGTACGGAGTGTCCAGCACGTAGTTAGTGACTATGATGATCACAAAGCCACCAGCTGGTGGTCACTCAGTGTTTGGTGACTTACTGCCTGTCAACTCCCTTTGCTGCCGTGAAAGAGAACGACCTTCGTTCACTTTACGTCTCTCCCGCACTTTCATTAAGCTTGCTTTTCCACTCCAAGAAAGCACTTTCTTAGCAGGGACGAGAAAGCCAACAGGCAAGCAGAAGGCAAGAGAAAGGACAGAAGGCCGAACGTAATGCCAGGGACGATGTCTGCAGGTGCGCCCGGGGTGCCCATGGGTCGCCGGCAGCCTCCCCAAGGAGCCAGCGCCTGTCCCCCTGAGCACCCAGCCCGCCTCCCTCAGCCACCAGCAACAGCGGCACTCACATGGCACTGGCTGAAGCCAGGCGGGGGTCCCACCCACTTTGCCCCTTTGCCTCGGAGACCTGGCTGCAAAGATGCAAGGGAGGCAGATCCTCCTAAGCAAAGGGTCTCACGCCCATCAGGGGACTCACCACCCTCTGCTGACCCCTGCTGTCTCCTTGCAAAGTGAGGTGCCCCCACGGAGAGCCCTGCAGAGGACCAATGTCCCAGAGGCACCTTCCCCCTCTCCAGCATCAAGGAAAACCGCAGCCCGAGCCCGACCTCACCTCGGCCACCCTCTCTAGCAGCGGCTCCAGCCAGTGCTCGTTGCACTCACAGTGGCTGTCCAGGAACGTCAGGACCCGGGCCTGGGCCGCGTCGGCGCCCCGGACCCGTGAGCGCATCAGGCCTGCAGGAGGGAGGCGGGGGAGAGCGGAGAGGGCGTCTGAGAGAAAGGCGAGCACTGCGCACACAGCACACGCACCACCCCGCCTGCCCCCCCGGCTCCGGGCCCTCTGGCTGGGCAGTTACCTGCAAACCATGCAGCAGGATTGACGCTGCCCGGTGGGCACTGAGAGAGGACTATGTTCTCAGAAATGCCGCCTCTGAGACAGGCCTCCTCACCACTGTAGTCCCCTGTACCAGGCAGCTGAGGCGCGGAGCTTTGAAAGCCATGCTCCTCTGTCAGAGCCACAGGGTTTTCCGAGGGGCTGGGCTGGGGACACAGTCGCCCAGGCACCGTATCACGTGCTAGTGAGCCAGTTCCAACGGCAGTCAATGAGCAACGTTGCAAAGAGATCACAACGCCCAGTTTTCTAGCTTTTACACCAAATTAGTTATGTCTAATTACACAAGTCACATATTTGTGATCTGTAAACAATATACATTTTTCAGTCTCACACAGTCTTGTAAACAGTGTATTTGTCCCTAGATGGCGTGGTCACAAACAGCTTTCCTATGTTTGCTGGACTTTACGTACGAAGGTGATGTGGCTGCTCACAGCCGTGACTCTGCTCACAGAGTCTCAGGTCCCTTCACATGCAGCAGTCACAGTGGGCTTTCGGTGCAGTTTACAGAGCGGGGCACCGGGGGAGGGAAAAAGGAAAGAGTTCCCTTTCTGGGGTGGAGGCGGGGCACATGGGTGATGGGGGGGTCAAAAGGCATAAACTTCAGTCCTAAGGTCCGGATGTGATGAACAACAGCATGATAACTACAATTAGCCACACGGTGCTGCACATCTGAAAGCTGCTAGAGCAGAACTTAAGAGTTCTCAGAAGAGAAAATCACTGTAACTACGTGAGGTGGTTCATGTTAATGAAACTTGCTGCAGTAATTGGTGTACAATATTCACAGGTACCCAATCCTTACGTTGTGCACCTTGAGTGGATACAATGCTACATGTCAGTCATGTCTCAATAAACCTGGAAAAGCAAATTGACGCAGAAGTGGGCGGGACAGTGGGAGCAGAGAAAAAGCCCATGAGTCACACAGAGAGTCGGGTCATGAATGTGCACTTGGCCCCGCCACTGCCATCAGATGGCCGTATGGCCGGGAGAAAGTCGCCTGGCCTCTTGGGGCCTTAACATTTCCAGCTGTAAAATGAGAGACCAGGACGAGGTCTTCAGCTTTCAGAGCACACCAGAATCATCTGAGTAGCTCTTAACATGCAGGTGCCCAGGCCCCGCCCCTAGAAATCCAGATTTTTTCATTTAACTGTGGGCATGGCCATCTCTTAAGTTCTCCAGGGATTCTAACGAGCTGCCGGGTTGGAACTGCCGGCACCACCAGACCCCGGGCCAGAACACTGAACCTGAGGCTGCTCTTCCGTTGCCGTGACAGTTTATGCAACGCATCACTGTCAGCCCTGGTGTAGCTGTTTAAACAATGGGATCCACACACACATATACACACACACATGCGTGCCCACATGCATGCACAGGTGCTGTGTGCACATCTTCTCACCTGGCCGTCAGTCACGCCTTTCATCTGCTCCACACAGACCTGCCAACCCGGCTTTACACAGCTGCCCCGCCTCACCCCCTCCCAAACAATGCATCAGTGTGGGTTTGCCCACAGGAACTGCCTCACACATGGCAAGTAGGAAGTTCATATTTAGAACACTCCCTTTGATTCGTGAGTGGTTTAAAGGCACTATGAGGTCAGCAAGTGATCTGTCGGTAGTAAAACGTCAACATGAAAAACATCTTCCTGTCCTCCCCTGTCTTGTTTCTTCCCTGGGCCAGCAGATATGTTGGTCTTAAGTCCAAAAGGTACTATGTGCCTTGTTTAGGGCAAGATGCAAATACAAAGTGCAAGATTTTGGTTTGATCTCAAGATCTGGGGTGACTGTTAGCTCGGGAGACACATGAGAGCCCAGCAAACAGAGCCGGCTCAGGGGTGGGCACAGAGGTGGGCCCACTGTGTACGAGTGTGGAACATCTGGACAGATGATCTTACACTTGGTTAAAATACGGTGCTGATGACGTGGCCCTCAGGGGCTAGAGCACCTTACTGGCTGATTGGAATCTTGCTAAGGGAAACCGCATGCCTTCGATCCAGCTGGACCGCACAAGGAACCAGAAGAAAGAGTAGACATTGATCAAAGAACCTAACTGCCACTCCAGCACCAGCCATCGGCCGCAAAGAGCAAATACGGCCCCTGTTTAAAGCTCGGCAGTGTTTCCATGCAGAGAGATTTCTCAGGGCCCTGGGGGAGCCCCCAAGATCCCTCCCAGTACTGATGCTGGGATGAGATGCTGACTCACCCTGTGGATGAGTCGGCATGGACTCATGGATGCTGACTCACCCTGTGATTTCCACTTCCTGTCCAGACACTTTAAAACAAGTCCCCCACCCCCCCATCACTCTTTTAAATGCCAATAAAGTGGACTCAGTGAGCCTAGCTCCAGCAAAGACAAGACTACTGACTGTGGAGTTTGAGGCTGGCATTTGCAAAACCCAGTAAGTGTGTAGCTGGGGTTCTGGCCCCGTTTTTTGGATGGCTCACCTTTGGCGGGCTGTCAAACTGACTCTGGGTTATTGTATCAGATGCCTGGAGCATGGAGTTATTAAATTTCCCACTGCTAAATCTTTGTTCCTCTAAACTCTAGTAGGACTCAGGGGAAACCCCCCTAGGTTGTAAAGGGAAGAAAGAAGCCCATTTTCTAAACACATCAACAAAAATGTCATTTGAACTCTTGCCCTAGTACACAAACAGTTTCAATTAGTTAAGCTTTGAACGTCTTTCCCGTGTTTGCAGGAGAGGCTCCGAGGCGGCTGTGGTAGCGGGAAGCCACAAAGAGACGGCCCAGTTCGTGGTTCCTTTAGCTGAAACCTTTAAGTTGTCACTGGGCCCCCAAAAAGTCAGCACTCGGTGCTGAATTAAGAAGAGTCTTACCTTCTCGCCGATCATTTCTGAGAACCCGCACTTTTTCAATTTTTCCCAAGAGAGCCCCGTCCTCCGCTGGAAAAAGAAAAGAAGCAAGAGTGCTTGAACCTGAGTTTCCACAGGGCTTCTGCCTTCAAGCAGAGAGGCTTAACAATCGGCAAGCGCCACACAGAGGCAGCTTTTCTCTCTGCGGCCCTGATTCGGGTCTTCAGGAGTGCGTCACTAGCGGCCACACTCCCGCAGGCAGGCGCCCAGGAAGGGCCAGCGCAGGGGAGAAGCTGGTCTTGGTACTCACCGTCGTTGCTGTAATCGTCCACCAAGATGATTTCTTTTATGAGGTGGGGCGGGCTCTTCTTCAGCACGCTGAGAAAAGACAGAGGGATCAGGTTGCAGGCCTTCTGGGGGGCGGTCACTTTGGGTGCAGAATTCTCCCATCTTCGCCCCAATCCTTGGCTGCAGGAGCCATCGGTCCCCCCCCCCCCCCGTGCTCTGCACACTCAGGTGACCTGACTGCCCCGTAGCCAGCCCCAACCTGACTGTACTGGGGACACAGCCTGTGCGCAGTGTCCCTGTCAGGGAATGCCCCCTGGGAGCTGCAACAGGTGGGCAAGAGGGTGGCCTCTCCTGGCCTCACCTGACCACTGTCCTCAGCAAGGCCGACCTGGCTTCATTATGGAACGTGATCACCACGCTGGTGGCCGGCAGATCCACCCGCCACTGCTTCCGCTGACACCTGGGAAAGAGAGAGTTCGTCCTCTGAACAAGGGACCCAGAGCGGCCACCGAACTTGGGCAGAGTGAGCGGCCAGGTTGCACACTCCAAGCTGACCCTGCTGTCTGCAGCAGACTCTGGCCTGTTCTGAGATACGGTGACAGCGGGGCACAAGGCAACAGAACACAACAGCAGGTACGTCATGAAAGACTTGGGGGCAAAGCAACACACTGAGAACGTCTCTCTGCCACGGCGAAGAAAAAGGCACTTTGAGCCCTGAGATCCCATTTCCTGTCACACGCAGAGACGGGCCCCTCTGCTTCCACCGGGGAGGTTGCTCCTCCGGGCTGGGACCAAGGCCGCTGCTCTTCCCTCGTTCTCTGCTTTGCCTACAGCAGTGTGCACGAAGGATGCCCGTGTGGCTTCACACAGCAGTCTCTGAAACCTGGCACAGCCACCTGGCCACTCCCCCTTACCCTGGACAGCAGGGACATGTGTCCCTCACCCCGCCAGGCTGGCTCCAAACAATGTAGGGGATGCTGGTGCAGGGCAAGGGACACATCGGCTCTGGGGAGAGCCCTGAAGTGCCCAGAACACGGCCATTCAGGGACCAGGGCTACACACTATGGGCCAGTCACAGTGAGGCACTTCCCAAGCTGGTCTCTAAGACCCAGAATGCAAGGGCGCAGCTTGGCTCTTCTGAAACCCAGGACTCTGACACCTGCAGGGGAAGATGCTGACTGATCAGAAGCAAGTGCTCCACACAGCCGCAGTAAACAAAGGAAGCCCACTTGTGATTCTGACCTAACTGCTTTTTATTTATTTGTTTATTTAAATTTTAAAAAGATTTTATTCATTTATCTTTAGAGGAGAAGGGAAGGAGAGAGGAAAAGAAATATCAATATATGGTTGCCTCTCATGCGTCCCCTGCTGGGAACTGGCCTGCAACCTAGATATGTGCCCTGATTGGGAATTGTACCAGCGATCCTCTGGTTCGCAGGCCTGTGCTCAGTCCACTGAGCCACACCAGCCAGGGCCTTAACTGCTTTTTAAATGCACTGATTTTTCTTGTTCATTTCCACAATTTGCTATTGCTATATCCCCTACAGACAGAAATGGCCAGCTAAGTAGGAGCAGGCTCTGCAGAACCCGTGACGGACCTTCAAGGCAAGCTCCAGACTTTGAAGAACATGCACCCAGAGAGGTGATGTTCCCAAGGATCCTGAGAGAGCACTGCATTGAGGCAGGCTCAAAGCATCCCGCAGGCTTCCAGCCTGGAAGGGCTGCAGGGAATAGTCCCATGTAGTCTGAGGGCCCTCAGAGTTACAGAGCTGGTGACACCACTGGTCCGGCTCAGAGAGAGGCTGGGACAGATAGCTAGAGCACCCTTGGCCCAGGAAACTGTTCTCAACCAGTCATTAAAAAAATAAAACAACAAACAAACAAAAAACCTTCACCTGAAGACATACTTATTGACGTTATGGAGGTGGGGAGTAGAAGGAGAGAGAAACATCGGTCAGTAGCCTCATGTAAGCACCCTGACGGGGGATTAAATCTGCAACCTGGGTACATGCCCTGACGAGGAACAGAACCCACACCTTTTGGTGTACTGGAAACACTCTGACCAGCTGGGCCACCTGGCCAGGAACTTGACTGGTCATTTTAATACCAAGGTGGAGAGCGTGAATGAGCCTTGGTGTGGGCCTGAAGCAGGGCCGGGACCTGTCCCTTGGCCCCAGGACGGGGCCCCTAACACCAGCCTTCATGACCTGAGAGCACGCTGAAGTTACACCCACTGCCGCCAGCGTCGGAGCAGCCGAAGCCCTTCCCTGGGCCTGTGCACCTGCAGAAACCTGCTTTGAGACTTAGCTTCCCACGCAGTGTCCCACAGCTGGGAATGAAGGACCTGCTCGCAGAGTGGGAGGTGTCCCCTGCAAAGGGACATCAGCAGCAGGAGGATGCGGGTGTGTTAGACTCTCTGCAGCTCAACCACGGCCATGGCCATGGCCACAAGCACTCCGGCAACTGCAACAGTGAGCACCGAGTCCACTTGAAGAAAGACAGCCGACAGATGCCAATGTCCCCTCCTGCCTGGGAACACGACTTCTTAGAAGCAGATTGAAAATGAGCAAGAAAATCAGCGCCATTAAAAAGCAATTAGGTCAGAAATCACAATATGGACTTCTTTCCTTTATTATAGTTATAGGTACAGCTTGACCGTAATTAATCACGAGAAGCCAGTGTAACCTACCAGTCGTTGTTGCTGGGGGAAAACACATTCTGGAATTAATACTGTGCTTCATTAGAGCTGATGGCTGAGTCTTCAAGGACAAGCTGACTGATAGGCCAGCCCCCCCCCCCAAGAATTAGCTGATTGTTACATGAAGGAAGACTGTAAACAAATTACCAAAGAACGTCACCCCCTAGACCCAGATCTGTAATGCTAATGACATAAAGCCCAGCCCCCCTGCTCTGCACAGCAGGGGTGCTGGGCCCGGGAGAGACCTCAGTGACTCACTGTACTCAGCTTGCTCCCGCAGCCGCTCCCGCAGCCCCTCCCCCAGCCGCTCCTGCAGCCCCTCCCGCAGCTCCAGGAGAATTAACGCAGAGAGGAGGAAGCCTTGCTCCGGGTCAAATCGCAGTCAACGTAACTGACCCAATCACGTCCTGTTCTCTCGGCTTCCTTCTCTCTGTGGGAACCGGCCAGGCACTTTGGCCACGGCGCGTCTGCGCTCACATCATTTTATTAGAGCTCCTCTGCATGTTCAAGTTTTGCTGGGAGTTGACAATCAGAAAATTTAAGAGGTATCCCATTTTTAAGAAAAAAATCGAGGAGCATATTACATTCCATGAGGTAAGAGTATGTGTGTGTGTATGAATTCAGATCCTAGGTCCCCACAGTGAGCCGAGACAAGGGGGCAGCAAAGAATTTCTTTGAAAAGAAACAATAAATCCTGTGTGTAAAGAGCCACATCCCTGCCAAGCAGTCCCAACTGCTCAGAGCGAGTGAAAGACGCCCGTAGAGAAACCCCTCGGGGGGGGCTGGCCGCCGGGGACGTTCATCCTTGAGCTTTCTGTGGGAATGGAGTGGAAAGTGGAGCTGATGTGAAGTCAGCAGCGGGCGCGGTTTGCAGCCCGCTGTTCTCCCTCCCAGACGAGACCAGTGCAAGGAGCGTGATGCTGTGGACAGAGGACGGGCTATGGGGTCCAGCTCGCCCCTTTCCAATGGGCCTGGGACTGCAGTGGTCACTTTGTGGCCAGTAAAACAGAGACTTTAAAAACTGGGCAACATGAAGATATTTTTTAAATCCTTATGTAGTTGTAATTTCTTTGAGACCACGTGGCTATCAATACCTGAGTTCTCGATGGGGCAGACACACCGGCTCACGGCCAAAGCTATATGCCCCCCACCCCCCTGGGGGGGAAACGACGCGGATGCCGTAAGGGCAGACTCGATCGATGCAGACGTCATCCCGGAGGCTGATCAAGACACTGATGAGAAAATCCAGCGAGTGTCTCGCACCGGGGTGCACGGGCTGGCCCCGTTCGATCAGGCGGAGGGCTGCTCCACGGTGCAGGGAGGGACACAGATGATTTCTCCTCCACCCCATCACCTGAGCTGGTCCTGTAGTAACTGGCTGCTCCCCGAGCCCTGAGGTCCCTCGAGTTGCTCCTCCTGTGGGAAGATGGCCCTCAGGACCCCGCATGGCTGTGGTGCATGAAACAGGAATGTACAGACAGGGACTCTGAGCGCTAGGAAGGTCCCTTAGTTCAGACGCAGGACTGAAAACAGGTGTTTGGCTGCTGTGTCACTGGTGGCTGTCATCATGGAGGTTGGAGGGAAAATTCCTCTGGTGACCTGAAGGTGGGGCCAACGAGACGGGCCTGGGACATGCTTCCAAGGGTCCCTGCAGGAGAGCTCTGGGGTCACTTGGCCAGGGAAGGGCCCCTGGGCTTGCCAGAGGGGCTCACGTGATGGACAGGCAGGCGAGATGCAGTGGCACACCTCAGTAACAGAGAGGCCCAGAACCTCTGCAAGGTCACGGAGGTGCTCTTGGCTCAGAGCACGACCAGGCTTACTGCTAGACAGACATCGTGACCACACAGAGGGTCACGGGAGTGAAGAAAGACAGAAATGGTGTTGCTCCATTTTCTGAAATGACCAATTCACTAGCGGTTTGTACGGAAAATACTAAGCAACCTGATCAACAATTAAGCATTGTTTTATGTTAACAACAAAACAGGTTTGGAAGAGATGGGAAATGCCCACGTTTTAAAACATTAAGAAAGAAAAGTAGAAAACAATGTTGACCCTGGTGGCCCAGCACGTGGAAGGTGTTGGGTCTCTCTGACGCCAGCAGGGTGCGCCCCGCAGAGGGACCCCAGCACCCCGGGCATCCAACACCCAGCCCACACTCTGAGTGCGACCTGGAGTCTGACACAGGACACCAGATGGCCACGGGGACCCAGAATGTCAGTGCCTGCAGCAGCCCCGGCCACGCCTTGACTCCCCAGGAACAACCACGGGGCCGTGGCACCAGGAACTGCAAGGCAAACGCTATATTGTTGGCAAGTTCTTTCCTGTCTTATAGTTTGAGTGGTTCTGAACATTTCCACATTCCTAGAACATGCTCCATTCCATAGAAGTTTTCAAACATATCTGCATGAAAGCGTACTTAGAATTTTCTTATGACCTTTACAAACTCTGGAGTACGCCTGCTTTTTTCAGTTCCTCATATAATCATGCCTTTTCTCTATTTCTGTGATCTGGCATCCTTAGAATTCCGTTTTTTGAAGACGAAGCTGTACAGGACCTTCTCCGTTGTCGTCCCAGTTCATTAACCTTTCTCCTTCCTTCTGCCTGCGATGCTGACCCTGCTGTTGCTCCCTTCCTTCCTGAGCCACAGTGCGGGCCTGGGCTCAGCCTCAGAAGAACCAGGAGATGAAGTCTCGTCCACTCCACAGAGGGAGAAACAAAGGCAGGTCTGTGCTCAACCAGGAGGAGGCGGGGTGAAGGGCGGG